TTTATATCCGTTTCAATTATTATGCGATTAGCAAAGCCTTTAGTATTTATTAATTATTCCATTATCCCTAATTACTACTTGCTTGTACATCATCTCTTGGAAAATGCGTTCGTCCTCGCAAACGACTATAGAGTTCATGTGTAGATATTACATGGCTGCATGAATATCAATCCTTTCATTCACACTTTCGATGCTCATACGATACAGTAACATCTGTCTTGTACTGGAACTTTCAAGAAAGACACAATAGTATATCATTATATTTTTTAAACAAGAATTTTCTATCTGCAAACAAATGCTGCTTCCAATCGGCCATTACTCGATAAAAATGGATAAAATACTTGAAAACATAATCACTTTTTTGGTATTAGCTTAATTTTACGTCCAAATGAATTTTTCAAAGTATGTCCATCTTGGTAGGTTGAGTCCTCGGGAGTTGACTTTATCTTTAATAACTTGTATATGGTTATGGATAACCAATTAATTAAGAGCAAAGCGGAAAAATCGTAAGTTTGATCTTTCCGACAAACCTGTGATAGGGGATTCCATAAATTGAATGGAGAGATCATTTCATATGAAGGACCGAAACTAGCGGTAAATATGGATGTAAGACTGGCTAAGCTTCCTAAGCGTCTTGCAATAAGCATGGCCTACAGTCCGTTATAGGAAAGAAACATGACTGCAATGATGGAAAGATATTATGTCGAAAATTAATAAAAGAACTATGTGCTCTTGATTTTCATTTTCATTTCTATGAAATTGTATCAAGAAGAGGTTCGTAGGTTGATATTACAAGAAGACGACGGCTGATTCCCATGCACTTGCAACCAGTTGACTTTAATACGAAGTTCAAGGTTGCTATAGTGTACGAGGAATCCTTCCTCGTTTCGGATGAAAACTGCTGAGCTTTCGTCCATATGATGGAGATCATCAGAGTTGGAATTCATTTCCGCAAAAGTCTCACTAACATTTGGTCAAGAAAACTGTCTGGCTTTATCCTTATCTCTTATATAAACTTAAGCTTCTTCATTACCAGAATGAGTTATAGCTCTGATGATATTCGTTATATGATGAACGAAAGATCACTCTGTCTTCACCCGAAACAATGAATGATGTCTTGTAGATTGCGTCAACCTTAAACTTTGTATTTAGGACAAACGATTGCAGTACAACGGGAATCAGTCGTCTTGTAGTAAGATCAACCTACGAATATCTTCTTCATGCACTTTACTACCAAATCAAAGTCTTCCTAACAATGTTATCTAAGGAGGTTCATCGAAACCCAGTTACTCTTCGTATCTGACTTTCATACAAACAAAAACTACTTATCAAAATCGATTTCTTTTTTATTGAGTCAATAATCAATATAATGCTATTATTTTTGCAGGACCAGGGTTGTTATGATGTAAGTCATTGTGAAAATATGGGAAAAAATTAATTGATTCCCATCACTGACTAAATATTATTAGAAAGAAGTCTGAACTGCGGAACCGAAGTCAAACATCCTAAGAAACGAGGCACCCGTTTAAAAACGACCTTTTTTTTCTACTCTGCTTAGTGCTTATATCTTGCGCTTGCGTCACATTGTGGTTAGCTTCGATTGCCGACGATAAATTTTCATTTTTAAACTGAACAATACCAAATTTTTTTCATTTTATAAGTAGGTTTTTGAGACATACATATTTTATCGTTTCAAACACTGGCTCATCTTTACTTCATTGGCTGCATTTCTATAATCGTATTTATTTGCTATTTGTTTCCTGATTTATTTAGCCGATTATCATGGTTCCAGTTCAGCCGATGATAATAATTCTCTAAGTCCTGACCAAAATGGCCTGCCGGTCCATTTTCTTGTGAATCAAAACCAATCTCAGTCGTGCGGAACCAAGAACGACGCTCCATCTTCTGTCGCTTTTGATTCTGACAACCTGGTCAGTATCAACGAAACTCCAGAGCCCGGTGAGTCTGTTGACGGACTTGTCGATGCAGTAGATGATATAGTCTCGGCAGCCGCCTCGCTGCTACAGCGGAGTCCTTGTCTCCCCGAGGACTCATCAGTTATGCCATCACCTCCAGCTCCACTTTCTTTGCAGTCTCTGGTGAGCCTGAATTCTCACTCTCGCTCGTCACCTTTGATGCTTGAATCCTCTTGTACATCACTTTTGGAGTCTGGGGCAGTAGTGCGTCCAATTACCCTGCCTCAGTCTGACTTAAGTCCGGTTTCTGCTTTGGAGCCAGTGGACGATGAAATCGGATTGGGACTCTCAGAAACCGAGACAGTATCAGCTGGACTAGCTGAAGTAGAAGTCTGTTGTGTATCAGAATCTGCTCGGCGCCTTTTCGATGCCGGTCTTGAAATGCTATGCTCCCAGCTTCCACCTCGGAGTGCTAAGCCATCCCTCGTTTGGCCCTCGATCGCTCCGATATTAGACGTTGGTGAAGGCCAAAAAGTGGCCTCTCTCTCTGCCACTCCCAGTCTACCTTGTTCTTTGCCGTCTCCATCATCTCCACTACCAATTTCCTTGTCATGTCTCTCTCCTTCTACATCGCCTTCTCTCTCTCTCTCCCTTTCCCAGTCGCATTCTCATTCAACCTATTCTACATCGCCCACATTTCTTACCGGGCTTTCCGGCTCTATTCTGCCCTCAGTCGGCCTGAATAACATCAATCCGTTTTCACACTCTTTTCTTACCCATTACTCTCCTCGGTCTCGGTCTAGGTCCCAATCTCGATCGCGATCCAGATCTGGGTCCCGATCTCGATCTCGGTCTCGTTCCCAGTCTCGGTCTCGATCTCGATCTTTGTCTCGATCGCGATCGCCTCCTGACGCTTTTGCCTCAAGGCTGACTGATCCCGCTTTTGCGGATTCTACAGAGCTAACTGGTTTCCGTGGTCTCATACACGAAACACCAGCAGTAACTGGAATTATGATGGCAGCAGATTTGGACGTTTTTTTGGCACATTGATCTTTATTCAGCTGATTCACTTCTCCTTATCTTGCCTTGTGGTTTCTTGGTTTCTTGTTATTATCTCGGATTTTTCTGTACTTTGATTATTCTATATCATCTTCTTTTGCTTAGTTTTCTTTTTACGCTCAATAAACCTTTTTTTTTGCATCTTTTTGTCATCATGCCTCCAAATACAATCAAGTTCGTCATTCCCTTCTTTCTCATCTACAGCCACGTCCAGAGCCAAAGATGGACTATTTGAAATTTATCTGCATCTACCATTGCTCCATCATATTTTCTACCCTCCATTTTTCCATCGTTCCATACTTCAGCCTCTGACTCCTCGATAGCTCTGTTTCCAACCTAAATC